TGTCTTTCAAGAGAATTGTTTGTAAGGATTGGATTTGTTTATACGAGTTTGACCACACACGGATTGATATCAGTTGGAGAACCATTGAGAACCAGGGAGTACTGGACAGCTAGCTGTTTCATCCTAGTTGGGGAATCATCGGCAGTACGCGCCCACCGGGGGTTCGAACCCAGGACCTTCTGGTTACAAGGTAAGCTCGTATACCATTCAGCCGCTGGGTATTTGCTATGATTATAATCACAAATATTTTAGTTGCATTTCATACTACTACTATTATTATTTTATGCATTCACACCTATGATTCAATTCCCTCACCGGATGTAACTTCTAAAAAAACCCATATAGGTAATCGCTGAATCACTTGTTTTGATTTTCTATGTTACAATGGGAATTTTCCATGATTTAAAAAATAACAAATACTCACTGGTGATACAGTACTGATCACATTTCGTGCATACTTCGTTATTCACAACAATATCAAGCTATTCACATAACCTTCAGGCCTACAAAATACTCAATACCAATACAAGTAGACAAGAGGATGAGAAAACCTTCAGAAACTGATAGTTAAGTCCAAGGTTACCTGGAGTTGATTCATAAACTAACAGGGAATTCTAAAACCCCACTTGAAATATTATTACCAGTAGAATAAAACGACAAGGATGGCTAGAACTATATAAAATAAAATCTGTAAGTTGCACAAGCACCTTCATATCTCCATGAATAATGAAATGCGATTGAAATACAGTCAGCAGGTAGATATTGCATCATTAATATATGCGCATATGTGTTGCATGAAATAAAACCATTCAGTTGTAGAATTATTTCTCACAACAGTGCGAGAATTTCGTTTCTTATATCAATTCAAATAAAATGCCCCCTCGTGCTCAACAAACATGAATCCATACTTGATCATCTTTTCCTCCCCTTCACCCTCAAAACTTGACCATCACTGTTCATAGCGATAAATCGCTGTATAAATCAAAATTCCATCAAACACAGCTTTACTAAGCATTAATAACACTAACAATGTCAACTAGTATAAGACTAGAGAATGGTGAAAAACGCTAAGAATGCAGTGTCCTTAAAAGTTGACTTAGTGTATATTGATTTTAGCGTTTTTATAATAAGTGAATAGTTATCAGTATGCTTAATAGGGTACCAAGCAAAAATAAACATCTATGCTATTCAAAATTTCTAATTTACAATACCCGGGTTGTTTGTATGACTGATGATGATGAACGGAAGTCAAATGGTAAGTTTTACAAATTGCTTTCAGGCGTTTATTATAAAAAGATTATCGTTTGCACTTAACACATGGTTTTAGATAGCGTTTTGTTTTTTATCGATTTCTTCTCACTATCCACTCTGTTATATATGTCCATGCTAACAATAGATTTAACAAGATGGCAACATCCAACCTGTCTAACTCACTTCTGCATATATCACTACCAATTGATCCGCCTGACTGTGTAATTCAAATGACGGACAATGTTCACAAAGCGATTTGTACGAAACACTGCTTAAAGTAGTAGACCTTTGAATAAATTTAATTTATGATGTGATGGTATGATACAGACAATGTGTGCCAATGGAATATTATTCTCACAGTTCAATTCGGCATTAGCGACACAATACGATATGTCTGTTTGAACAACCTATTTGATGTTGCAGTCGGAATGTTATTCCCACACATTTCAATACAGCATACAATATATCCATTTGAACATTCTATTGATGTTAGAGACAGATAACTTATCCCACGGTTATATACTGCATTAACAACAGAATACTATGTCTGTTTGAATATTCTGTTTCATGTCGTTTGATGTAAACCGAAATCACACGCTCAGTGATTGGTTAAAGAATATAAACTGTATAGATATAAAGAGCGGTTTGATCAATGAAAAATATACCTTGGCTTCCATGTCTTGCCTTCTGTCGTTAAACCTGGACTTCTCAAAAAAGACTATATTATATTACGCAGAACACTGAAGACTGTAAGCAGTTACAGTTAGTGGTGTGCCTTTGACTCAGTTAACAGATATTATTGTCAATAGGCATTTCAATTCCTGCAAGCAGTTGGCTGAAGTTATCTTTTCTGATACCGAACATCCTCTCTACTTATTCTCAACTTTTGCCTTGTCTCTCTTCGAGTAAGGCCAGAAGAAACTTCATAAGAATTTACGCTCGTACAACTAAATATAAAAATCCTACCATACCATATTTAGCACGGGTTTTGTGTGTCAGAAAAGAACTTAAAACTTTTTAAATCAGTAACTGAACTGCAAAGTATAAGCAAACATTATTGCTAAATGTATTATCTCTGATACCTACCAACATTCTCTTTATAGTGATTTCTTTATTAATATTATTATTACTATTTTAAATCTTATGTATGTACATATTTATAAAAGGCGATAAATTGTTGCAATATGTATAAAAAGGCTGGAAATTTCATTCTATATAGGATTTCATCATGAGATGACATTGGTTAGAGAACCATTGGAAAACCTGGTAGTACTGCACAGCTGTTTCATCCTAGTTTGGGACTCTTCATAGTGCGCACCCACCGGAGTTCGAACCCAGGACCTTCTGGTTACAAGGCGAGCTCGTAGACCATTAAGCCACTGCGACCCGATCCAATGGCCCATGAATTCTTATATCTGCCAATTCACGATATAGCGCAACCACTAGCCAATGTCTTTGGCGAGTATTTGTCCTCACACTGGACCTGCTGCAACCTACTGGTCACGACTTCCCACTAAAATCCCAGGTAAATACTCACCTGAATAGGGCCAGTCGCCATTCTATATAATTATTACTGTTTGGAATGAGATGATTATTATCACTGTTATTGTTATTAAGCTATACCACTTACACTGTTTACCTGTAGTTTCATTGAAAATAAATTTTTTTTTGTCACTTAATGTTGACAAGGAAAGTTGTCCAACAGCTATCATAGAAATAATTTTGTGTATTTTAGATCAAAACCTCCCTGTATGTTCGCTTTCGTTTCATCCCAAGTTATCTGTAGGGACATAACAAATACGGCCTAAAAAATGTAAATCTCAGTATCGTGATAATATGCGATTCTCACTAAAAAAAGACACAGACTACCAAATGTATGTGATGTCTTACGTAAAGGCACTATAGAAACTGAAATAGTTCAGTATAGTTTATTATGTGAACTGAGAAACTATCCATACTGTTTATGCTAATCAGTAAATGTCACCTGCACAACCGCGAATATTTTCAATTTGCTCAGCCAAACTGCTTAATGATTTGAAGAGTTATAATGGATTCCTTTAGCCTTAATCAGAAACAGATAAATAATATGATTCCTGAGATGTGGTCCGGTCTGGTATCACTCACTTTCTTTTCAAACTGAACAGATGTCAATAATTCTCCCATATCAGATAATATTGAAAAATTAACACCTTCAGTGGTATACAAGGCAATACTCGTTTACACTTTCATATCCTGCTGGTGTGAACCGGCAGTTAAGCTGTAGGATGCTCGATTGTTGGCCAACGCACATTTCTAAACGTCACCTAGTTTCCTAGCCAATAGTAAGCCTGGAGAAAAGAAAAAGTTGCACGTGAGACTACCAGTCACATCCAGTAAAAAAACAACACCATAGCGATTGAAACATCAAAAGCCTGCAGCCAAATGGGGAAAAAATCCATTTTATTTTCAATAGTCGATTTGTAAGGATTAGATTTGTTTTTCGAGTTTGACCACGGATTGATATCAGTTAGAGAACCACTGAAAACTAGGGAGTACTGGACAGCTAGCTGTTTTATCCTATTTTGGGAATCATCGTCAGTACGCACCCACTAGGGTTCGAACCAGGACCTACCAGTTACAAGACAAGCTCGTATACCATTCAGCCACTGGGACCCTATTCAATGGCCAGTGCATGAATTCTAACTTCTACCAATTCGTGATGCATTCAGCGTGACCACCAACCAATGTCATCGGTGGGAAATCCATCCTCACTCAGGACTGGATGGACCTCACTGGTGACGACTTCTCACTAGAACTCCAGGAAACTCTGTCCTGTAGCAAGTCACTATCGAGCGTCAGATTAATTTTCAAGAGTTGATTTATAAGGATTAGATTTGTCATTATTAGAAATACACTTTTCACACTTCAGTTTTTTTTTTAAAACAATACTTTCAAGTAGATTATTTCTTTCAGAAAAATTGGCAAAATAAAGACAGTAATGGTATTGAAATCTATACGCATAAAACACCAATCAGTTGTTGACTTCATACCCAGAAAAGAAAGTGGTAGCTAACAAATCGATGGCTATTCTGAGTAGGCGCATCCACATTGCTTAGACCGTTCATGTATCTAACCGCACAAGAAAGGAATTCAAAGTTTAAGATTTGCCTTCAGTATTGAAAATATAATAAATTTTGCAAGCGCAGAGTATTGTTTTTCAGCATTACATAAACTAACAACTCAATAACTACCTATCATCGAAAGTTGTCTTTATTCAAAGTACTAGTCAGAACAAACCAAAATAGATTAGTAAGTGCTCAACCTACGGGACAAGGGTAAAAGATAGGCTCTGAGGAGAATGCACTCAAATGTTAGTTTACTGGTTAGGTTTATGAAACTTTCATTGACTGAATACCTCACTCCAATAAACATACCAAAAAGGTAATTTGACTTGATGACGGGTGTTTTAATAAAACCAGAAGCAAAGACCTATTATACGCCCTAGTTAGCTTGTATTTTTGAGCTTTGTTAGGATATTGTCTGTCACTGTGACTACTAACCACACTGATATACCTTTCACTATGTTAAGTTAGCAAATATCCTACTTCTGCTTTTCATCACTTCATCTCCTCTCAATATGACATGTTCCTAGTTGTATGCATTGATGAAATGCCAATTAACTTTGAAGAAAAACCCAAACAAATGTAGCAATGAAGTTCAAACAGAATTAAAATCATTTAAATATATACACTGTACACATATATACTCACTTCAGGTGTGCCATATTTTCTTCTTACCGGTGGTGTATAATATGATGAATAAGGATTATTAGCTCCTGTAGTACTTGTATTACTACTGTTACTAGTAGTATTTAATGCAGTCGATGTTGAGGATAAATTACTGCCACCAGAATTTCGATATCTTGAACTGCTACGTCTTAATCCACCAATTCCACTGGAATAGTAGTTTGAACTACTCAAACTACTAGGTGAAGTGTAATTTGAACTTGGCGTTGTAAGATGTGAAGCACTCGATGAGGACGAGGAGGATAAACCACTGAGATAAGTGCCAAGAGGTCCACCGTATAACATATTGCTTGACTTGTTTTATTATTATGTGTATATACGTGTGTGGGGTTGAGTCAGTGGGTCACTGAGTCAGTTAGTTCTTAGAAAGTGAATTGTATCAACAGAAAAAAAGTTCAAATTGTAAAACAGAATAGCTTCTTTACATGTATAAGTGATACTAATAAGAGAAACGAAAGTATTATGATTCAGTTTGTGAATGAAAGCGAAATTGATGAATAAGCAGATTTACTGCATCTATCCATATCGGATGTTATGTCTGATTCAGTACAATGCCTCGTGAAGTTAAGCTAACAATAAGTAATGATAATAGACCGCGTCATTGATGGTAATTGTATACACATATACAATTAAATATATTGAAGGCAAAAGTAAGCTACAAAGAATACGCAATACAATTAGAATTAGACGTGTCTTTCAGCTCCACTTTTGTACACCAATCTATGTGTGTGTATCTATCCTACGGACAAATTTCTGTAGAGGTGTATGCTTAATAAGCTTTTTATTGGCCAACAAATGCACCGAGTGAATACACATTGAACAATCGATAGTCTGTAATACAATCATTTCTTTTTCTTTTAATAATAATATTAATAATCAAAGATGAACAATTTGTTCAGTCCAACATTTCTCAAGGTCAAATCATAATGTGTTCATCCACACAGAAAGCAGTGTGATTGTGCGCACTGGATTAATAGAAGCTGATGGAGAGACAAACACACTAGCGAATAATAAGCTGAGAAAAGTGTGATAGAATCCCTTCAATGTTGTAAAATTACAAAGAAAAATTACAAAATACGCGTTTCCTGTGTTTGTAAGTGTGGTAAGATGGCACAAAGTTGGATAAATTTCCCTCTTCCTTCCTTCCTTCGGTAAACAGTTGCACATTAACCTAGCCTCGAAAAACAAAAACAGTGTGCTTTACAGACATCAGCTACCCCAGTGACTGTGTACACGATTTTGTGTGCACAAATAGGTAACTAGTTTTTCCTCCAATATTTCGTATACAACAAAATATGAAACGGCATGTATGTCACACAGACAATTATGACGATTGTTTTCCACTAGCGATCGATTAAGGTTAGTCTTCTTCAAACCTTCAAGTAACAGTAAGAAAAAGCAGAAGAAAAGCATCGTGATTAGCGTTTTTCCTATGAGAATGAATCAACACGACTAGTTAATCCCTTTTGTGGATATTCTGCTACCGGTAAGATATTAGGTGGATGGGTGCTTTGAAGAAGACAAATAAACCGGGTGACCAACAGGTAAGCATCATAGACCAATAGCACGCATCTGTGTATGCCCGAGACGTGTTCCTTATTAGCTTGTTTATTAGATGTATCACACCGTGAAACAGTATTATTAACTGGATGACGTTTCGAACAAATTTTTTCGAACACATTGACTCAAAGGTGGAGGCAATTCAATTCACTTATCAATTGGAAAGTCAGGAAGGGAGACTTACAATGTTAGGTTGAAGCGTAAAAAGGAAAGAAGGTGGGAAGTTAAACACTAGTGTTTACAGGAAACCCACACATTCAAACAGATATTTGGACTTCCAATCATCCCATCCTATGTCAGTAAAAATAGGATTGGTGAAATGTTTGATTAATAGGACACAGAAACTAAGTATACCAAGGAAATCTAAGACAAGAAGTAAGGCATAAAGAGAAGCTTTGAAACTTAATAATTACCCTGGTAAATTAGTCAGAAAGTATGTGGGGAAATGTAAAGATAAATAATGATAGTAGTGATAGTAATAATAATAATAATAGTGATATTAATGACGACATGCACGTCAAACATACACAAGACAACACCAATAGTAAGGAATCTAAATCATCAGCACTAATCCCACACAAGGAAGGAACCTCGGAAACCACCTTATGGAGAATTCTTAACAAGGCAGGAATAAAAGTGACATTCAAACCCTCAAACTCAATTAGAAACAAGCTTTGTCGGTTAAAGGATCAATCCTGTGGAGCCTTTAAAACAAAACAATTTAGTTTATCTAATACCCTGCAATGATTGTCAGGTCAAATGCATAGGTCAAAGTAGAAGAACAGGAGCAGTCAGACTAGCCGAGCATAAAAACCTAGCAAAATCTAGATTGGTTGACCCGAATAAAATAAGAAATCTAGAGAATAGTTCAGCTATAGCACTACATGCAGTCACACACAACCATACAATAGGATGGGATAGGATGACAGTTTCAAAATCTAATGTCACAGGGTATAGGGAGAGATTGATAACAGAAGCTTTGTTTATTGAATCAACTGCAAATACATGTAATAGGAATGATTCATCACCTGTCCCCGACATCTGGAAAATTCTACTATCCCAACGACAAATAGAAGAGAACAAAGAAAACTATAAAACTCAAGTTCCAAAGTCCTGTGGTTATAATTGATATGATTATGAACAATAAATTCTGTTCGAAATGTCATCCAGTAAATAATACTGTTTCACTGTGTGATACATCTAATAAACAAGCTAATATGGAATTACTTACTACCACAGTGCCCAAGTTTTACACATATATTAATATGACTTATGGTCTTCCTGTACGAAGACTTATCAATAAACCCAAGACGTGTTCTTTTTGTGTGTGCATGGTACTTCATGATTCGAACAATCAGTTCGCACGTCCTCTGAACCTATATTACTACTGACTAGTCTAATAGAATAAAGGTTGAAAAATTCAGCATTAGTGTCGCATAAATTTCAAGTGACTGTTGAAATTATGCAGACAAACAGTGGAAAAGTTAAATAAAATTTGCCTAAGAGATATCCATCGTGATTAGTATATTGTGTGGGTTACCACTTCATATGTTGACCAGAGTAAATATCCTTGTTCACAAGATGATATCATAATGCCAGAGTACAGCTAGCCGTGTATGTGTGTGTATAGAATAACTAAATAATTCCGCTAAACCCTTGATCATAAATAGCACAGATCAACTTGTATTAAGTAATGCATTAATCAGGTGTCTCCGTTGTACAGAAATCCCGGTTAGATATTGATTTATTTTTCTCCTATGTCTTTTCTTATTAAAACGATGGGAATACAGGAATTTAGCTGAATAGTTGTGAGAAAAACTCGGCAATCTCAAGGCATGCATTAACACAAAATCCCACGATATGTTGGGACAGAGATACAGTTGTAAAAAGTAATGTAGGTAGGTGGAAGGAAAGATTGATCATTGAATCTTCACTCGTCGGATCTACACCAAACACTTGCTATAGGCTTGACACACCACCAACGACAGAGATATAGAAAATATTATTGCAAATAGAATCAAAGGATAAGAAATAATGGAATTGCAGAAATAAAGTCTGAAAGTTATGTGAGCAGCCACCTTGATATGATTGTGAGCAATAATTTGTTCTCAAAACGTCATCATCAGTAAATTACGTTTTTTTTAAAACTGTAGGCTTTTATCGAATAAATGTACTCTGTTATGAAATTATACTCTGCCTCACAGTCACTAAATCTTATTTTTTCTATTAATCCAACTAAATCTACATTCATTGGAGATAATATTACTTTTAATATTTTGGGGGAGATTGCTTCCTAATATAATATATATTAATATATATAATATATAAATATATAATATATATACATTGAGGTTAGGCGTCGAGTGCTAGGTAAGATAAGGAGCGGAAATCAATCGACGAGGATGCGAAATTACATCGATTGAGATGGTGAGGACTTGTTTTACGCATGCATCCCTAGTCGTCGCCTTCCTCTACCAACAGTGTTAGCTGACACAGGATAGATCAGGTTGGAAAAGAGTTAGCTGGTGGTGGTCAAACCAAAACATGGTTTCATCATCAATCAATGAAATCCACAACAGTTAGTTTAAGTCAGCCACTTTGGGAGGTATCGACATCCCGGTTTGGGTCCTCAGGATGATAAAAACCAATGATGGCTGGAGACAATTGATGATATGGCTGAAAATCGTTCTCAATGATGGCGCAAATGCATCCATTCTTTGTGATTTATCATATCCAATAAAATTCTATTGTTCTCCCATATTACTATCCTTTTTGCTTCATATTTCTTTTTATGTCTCATTTTATTTTTAATCTTTCTTTACTGTTTCCTCTTGTTTGTGTGGAGTGCGTCAAGTCGAACTACTGTACATCTGTGCAAAGTTCTACGCTGAAACTATTCATATATATATATATATATATGATTTTTTTTTGCTTTTCGTAGTTGCACTGGTCAATCAGCCTTGATTTTAGAACTAACAAGATGGTATATGCGCGTGTGTGTGTGCATAATCAATAAACGCTGTCAAAATGGTCATCTCAAGCGGAGCAGCACTGTCATTTAATCAATGAATGAATAATTCCGTAAACAAATTACTGTGTTTGCTTGTTTCATTGTTTATTTATTTATTTATTCGCTTATTGATTAGTTATTTATCAATTTAGCGTTATTGCACTTTAACTGTTTAATTAGGAATTCTCAAAGAAGCAGGTTTAGTGACATGGAAAAGTGGTTCACATGGTCTAGTTGATAACACTGTGTGTCTGTGGTCCAGTGGTAGATTACACGCCAACAGCGAACATGGTCTGCGATTCGATCCCTGCCCCCCTCACTCACTCTAAAACCTTTCTTAGGAGTTAGTAAGCCCAATAAAGACGGAAGGTTGGACGTGAGTTAGCAACCCCATCCAGTAAAAAAATAAACACCACTGCTACTGAAACCTCAAAACTGAAGCTTGAGGCCCTACGTTCCAGTCAGAGTGCAGAGAAATAAAATGTTTTAAAAATACGAAATGGCTGTGTATTCGAGACAGCTTTCTACGTACGATTTGTGCCTTTGAAAGTGTCTACACAAGCGTAAAATCGAATAGTTGTATCATTTGGCAGTGTTGTGTATTATCTGAGTTGGATAACTTAATTTCCTATTTTAAACAGTATTTTGAAAGCTCAGAGTAAAAACACAGAAACACCAAAGAACATCTGCTTCATTTAAAATGTTCCGCTTCACTACTTTAAGACATTTGTATAAGTAGAGAAAATGAGTAAGAATACATACGTATTGTCTCTTTCACTTATCATTGCAGCATCGTTCCAACCGTCGGTGATATGGTTGATGTCAAAGACAGTCAGCATATAATCGGGAAAGTAACACGAGTGTTCATCACTCTGAAATTTGCATGGAGATCTACAGCAATCAGAGCAAGGAACAACATCCAGATTCCCTACACTAGTCATTTTTTCTCTACACTTCAAAGACGGTGCACCTATCACCAGAAGCATTACCAACAGGTTAGAGACTAGCGTAAACATCTGCCTCTGCTCGATACGGAAGATCATATGGCCGACTAGACAGGATAATGAACACAGAACTCTGGCTGGAAACCAGTCAAAAACCTATTATTCAGCCAAAAAATATACAAACGGAAATGCAGATGAATTGGACATAGCCTGAGAAGGCTGCTGCATGACACTACACTCCAGGCCTTCAAATTGAACCCGAATGAGAAGCAACGAGTTATGTGAGAATCTGAGGACGACAAGGATAAGATCATGTGAAAAGGAAATGAAAGCTTGTGGGTAGTTGTGAAGGGGGAATGAAAATCATGTAGGGCTGAAGTTCTATGTTCCACTGGGAACGCAAGGAACGAGTAAATGTCCAGTTA